ACCTCATTAAACTTGTGTATGGCTTCAGAGCCAGGACAGTCAGTGTTTGAGAACAAATGAGTCTGAGCATCAGAAGAATGTTTTGTGCCTGTGTAGAGTCCCAGTTCATAACTGCCAAGTTTAGGCAACTGCTTATCTTTGGGCTATTCTTAACCTCGGCAAACATGTATTGCGAACATTTCCAGCATGTCTCTAACCTTGCTGTTAAAGTTCAGTCTAGAGTACAACTTAAAAAAAACAGCAAAAAAAGGAAAATTCCATCATAACTTTGTGACCATCAAATTATTGGAACAGTAGAAATGTCAGTCCTTAACTGTTAGAAGCTATAGAAAGACATTTGGTGTGTTTACACTTGGCAGTCATTGCAGACAAGGGTGCTTGAAATTCAAAAAGTAACTGGCTCTTAATAGACTTCAAAAACGCTTAAAATTGTAGTTACGCAATACAGACGTTTTGAGAATAATGTTAAATGGGATGATGTAAGGTTAAGATATGTCTCCAGTTCACTTACACAGTCTTAACATTTCATGTAACCTGCTTTTCTCTCACATGTAGACAGAGGCCACATTGATTTCTACAGCTGTAATGTTTCTGTTCTTCTTTTCTTGCTGTATTTTGCTTTTGAATTTTAGAAGTGACTGTAGAGAGCTGTACCCACTGAGCTACTAATTAAATACATATCTTTGGGCTTTAACAAACTGCTAATGGTGGTTTAATTCAGGCAACATTCATCTAAGCACTTGGACTGAAACAGTGGTTCAGAGTGATAAATTTTGAAGGAAACAATCCCAAGATACACAGGTGATGAACTTTCTGGAAGTGGTCATTTAAGTATTACAGAACAGCACTAAAGCATCAAAACATGCCTATAAATCTGCATGAGTTTTATAACACGAAGTTAAGACCAAAGTATTCTAATTTTTGCCTGCCTTTTAAAATTTTTTTTATAATACGTATATATATATATGTATGCACATATATGTATTACAGATGTGGCATTTTTAAAAGGGATTCTACTTAGCATTAATGTTTTGTAAGTCTCTTGGGGTACTCATTTAGATAGCATCTCTCTTGTCAGTTTGGATATGGCCTTCATTCAATGCTGTCTGCACCCTGGATCATGACATTGTACCTAATTACAACAGAATTATTTGTGACCATTGTTTTTAAATATGTGATTGGATCTAATTCACATGATCTGGTAATACAGTTACTGTGAGTTCTTGATGTTTTGGGGTGCTACAGAGCTAGAACCTAGTTGTATTACATTTGCAAGGCAAGAGAGTGGAGTTTCATCTGGGACATAAAACCTGTTGCCTTCTGTGTGACTGATGTATTTGGTTGTCTTTTCACTATTATTTTTCACTTTGATACTCTCCCTTCTCCCCCTGCCACAGTTCAAATGTAATTTGAGCATTTATGAAAAGGTTCCATGTACTGAGTTTCTTGGTGTCTTCAGCTGCTGCCTTAATTACCCTTGCCAGCAGAAGTCTGAGAGAATGGGACTTTCCTCCTTAAAAACATCCAGGAGGGAGGAGAGTTATACTTTTTATTTTTTGGGCTAGTATGATCTTTTATCTTAAGCTGTCATAAGAAAATGAGTATGACATACTAAAGGTTACTGCTGTTGGAGACTTAAGATTCTGGTTTGATCTCCAGCCAGGATTGCAGAAATCAATAGCTGAAGTAATTTTTAAAATATAGCTTAATGTAAGGTATGTTCTGAGGAGTTGCCTGCTGTACTTTTCTAACTGTAGTTTTGGCGAGCCATACTATTTTCCTGGTTCTCATATCCTAGAGATGTAATATTTTGGAAACTGATTGCTGGTTCTTCTAATACTCTGTTCTTTCTCTTTCTGCTGTTTCAAGAAATAACTTGTGCTGTTTTAGTTGAGGGTGGGGGATCACAAATGTGTGGCCTTTGCTGATCTGATTTGCAAGGTCTATATGAAGTTTGCACCATTTTTGGTTACTGCTCTTCAGCATTCCTAAGGTCTAGTCTTTTAGATGGCATCTTCCAACTTGAGGTGGTCTGTCAGGATAGTGTTTATGAGCTTAGAGCTCTGTATGTTCTTGTTTAATTACTTCAGAAGGCAACCTGATGTAATTTTGAAGCTCGACCTTATTTAATAGAGGTTAGACTAGATGAAAGCCAAAGGACCCTTCCAGTCTAATTTTTTCTATAATTTTGTAACACCTATATCATACTTAAGTTGTTTAGAACTCTTACATTTTAGCTACTTTTTTTGATTGCTTTTTTCTTTTTATTGGACCTGCTATGTTATTATTTGTTCCCATATGTTGAAGGTAGAAACTTTCAATTCTCTAACTTGTAGAACCTATAGCAAAAGACATTTGGTCAATTAAGAATACTTGCCCTTCAGTATTTTTCCTGTGCATCCTGCCCAAGGTCAATTTGCAGAGATTTTTCTCATGCAGAAAACTCACTGCCTGCTTCACTTTTGTGTGAAGCACTTTCTACTTGAGAAAAAGTAAGATGATTCGGTGAAATAATTGAATAAAACATTGCTTTGATAATTAGGAGTGTAAATATGGGTTTGATCAGATAACTCGTGGAGTCTACGTGCAGTATTGAAACTTCCATAGTAGACAAAACTCCAGGTTGGCACAGTAACAAAAGATTCAGGCTCTTTGTGTCAAATCCTGTTATGACAGTTGATTAAATACTAAATTTGGAAGGATAGGTTGCATAAAGTACCTGTTTTTCATTGAGTTCACAATCTTGCAGGCATGTCTTTTTCTGCAAAATACTGTGTTCCAGTACATGTGTAGGTAAGCCAGCAAGGAGGAAGGTGAGGTGGAGGTGGAGGTAGAGGAGTGCAAAAAAAGTCAAGGCTTAATCCCTTTTTTTTGTGTGTGTGATTATTTTTGCCACTTCTTCAGTCACTTGAGTTTCTGAGCATATGGATTTTCGGAAGTGAGTTGGAGTGATTGTTTGAGGTGAACCCAGATCTTTTTTAATGATGTCTTGTCTTACAAGCTTTCACACCGCAGGGCTAAGAAAACTAACAATTGTTTCCATTAATGCTTGACCTGGCAATGTGTATGTTCTGCCTTTTCAGAGGGAAGGCCAGCGTTACTAACAAAACAGTGCTGACATCACTTTTATACTAGTGATGCTTTTGGCAGTTGAAGAACAAGTCTTTGCCATGTTGGCTTCTGCTCTGTTAAAACAAACAAACAAAAAAAACAAGGAAGGGGAAAAACAAAAAACAATTCCTTCAAGTGTTTGTGTGTTCATAAAAAGGAAAAACATTGAGTTGCATATTCACCCGCACTGAAAATGGTTGCACGGTGGAGTACACTCTCTTTAAACTTCACATTTTTCATGAAGAAACATTTTAAAAAAAAAAACAAACATAAAATCTGATTTTTAAGAGTATATTCTAGCAGCCAGAGGTCTTGGAAATTAAGACTCTAAAATCTTTGTGTTCTAATATGCCACCTCACTTGCATGCCCTGGGTACACACACTTGTGTGTGTTTTCTTAAGCTAGGTTCAGCAGAGATTGTTTCTATTGGTATTCCTAGGAATAGTGGCAGGATTTGAGTGCACAGCATCTCACTGATTTAGTATTTGCTCAGAGGTAACCACCAGCGAGCAAAGATGGACTGGGTTGGAGGTGAGAGTGCCAATGACCCTTTGGCAGCTTCAGCTAAAACAACTGTTTGGGTTGGTTTTATTTCCTGTCATATGCTGTGAGGCTGGCCCAGAGGATCAGAGTCTTTTCTCAATAAAGCTGCAATGCTTGTGGGCATGTGTATGTTGAGGACTGGTTAGTGACCTTCTACCAAAAGGAAGGAGTAAATTTAGGGGAGTTTTCAGGAAGACTAGAGGGAATCTAGTAATCCAATTAATATAATTAATATGAGGATTACTTTAGTTTGAGAAGTTACATTAGTTTTATAGTGGGAAAAAGAGTACTGTCAATGCAATGTTTTGAAATGAATAAGAGATAATTCTCTTATACATTATGCCTCTGTGAATTGAAATTATCTTTTTTTTTTCTTTCTTATCAAGTGTGGTTTTTCTGGTGTGACACCAGTATCTTGCTACCTTTGGCTTTTTTGCTGATGAGAGAGGGAAGAGAGCACATTGCTTTAGCTTAACTTGTTGGCAAGCGTGGTGTACTGCAGCCTCTCTGCTGTGTTCTGCAGGTTACCCCTCCCAAGAAAAATATGGTGTGCTCACAGTCTGATTTAGATCAGTGTCTCTGCCTCTATTCACAAGCAGGCTCCAGCAATCAAAGCTGGGCTGGCTTCCTGTATGTGGAGCACCAGGGAGATTTGTCTGGGCTTCCCTGCACATACACAGCCTTAAATATTTACTCAGAGGGAAAAACCAACATGGGTTTTGGCCCCAAGCTCATTTTAGACCTAAAAGTAGTGAATGACTCTGAGGGATGCCCTGGGGAAAAGTCTGATGGCAGGGTTGAGAGGCACCCTGTTTTTTGGGGCAGTAAGTGAGAGGAGATGCTGGTGGGAACATGTTCCAGGGCAAAGGTTCCCTTTCCCACGTTTTGGTAGGACTCTGTCCCTATGAGCTTCCCCGTGCCACATTCTTCATGCAATGACTCTGTAGTAAAAGAAAACTACTAGGTGGGGATATATAAAGTGGTTGGAGGTGTGTGGCCCAGGCCTATGGGGATGCATAGCAGCTGGGGACAGGTGTGTCTGGCAAGTCCTGGTTTCCCATATTTGGGTTGTGCTCCACAGTCATCCAAGAACCCGCTTTTCACTGTCAGTCGGCTTTTATCTGCTTCGATGCTCTTATTTATGTACCCAGCCTCTGTGTACAAACGAGATACTTTTGTGTCTGTGCTTGTAGCCATTATCTGTGTGAATGCAGGCTAAATCACCCTGTCGCGCCTCCGTTTTCAGGGAGATAAAACCGTTTTCTGAAGGAAGGAAGGAGAGAGGGACCGTGTACCACTGCACCCCGCGTTATTCGCGCGCCTCCCGAAGTGTCCGTGTATTTACCTGCGGCCGTGTGCGCTGCCTCTCGGGAGGGATCCTCCGCGGGGCCCTGCAGCGGCCGGGCCCACAGCGCTCCCTGACGGCCGCACCGGGGCAGTGCCGCCTTCCCGCGGCTGGGCGGGCTGTCCCCGCGGCTCGGCGCCTTCGGGAGGGATCTTCCCCCGCTCTTCCCAAACTCGTACCCGTGGGGCGAGTGGGCGGGGGCGAGCATCGCCGCAGGGCACGGCGCAGCGAGGCGGCGGGAGCCGCGGGTGTCGGCGGCGTCCCCTCGGAGGGGCCGAGCGGCGGCCGGAGCGGCCGGCAGGTGTCGCGGCGGAGCCACCGCCGCCTGTCCCTCCGTCCCTGCCCGGCGCAGGGAGCGGCCGCGCTGTCCCCAAATAACCGGGTCCGGTGGCGCGCGGACCTCCGGGGATCGGCCTCTGCTGCTCTGGATTTTGCCGAGTTAATGTAAGCTGCGTAAATAACTCGTGTCTGCAAGTCGGAAACGCAGCTGAATCCGCATCTGAACAAGCTAACAGTAGTTAAGGTTAGTGGGAAGCGGGTTAGGGGAAGGGACAGTGATGCCCCACAGGGATGCAGATTCTGATGGCATACGACAGGCATGAAATGGTACTCAGTAAGTTAGGCAGAGCTTTCCAGTGACCTTATATATGGATTTCCTGGGAGGATGGGGTTGATGGAAGTAACTAATTGCATTGAGGTTGCTTTTACATTATGTGTCATAGTGACTATTTCACCTTCTTATGGGTTGATTCTGCAGAGTCCCGGTCTGGTGTTTCTTATTTAAATTTCACCTCTATTCAGCTTTCAACTTAGAAGTTGTTTTGAGGTAGACTTTTGGGGAGAAGTTGTCACCAGGGGCTTGCCTGACCTCTGCAAGGGCTAGAGGACCCCACAGACCCCAAAAAGAGGGAAACATCGAAAAGAAGAAAAGGCAGAAAAAGCTTCGAAGCTGCCAGGGCTGGATGATATTCAGCTGAGTCTGTAGTGTCAGCAGTGTGGTGTATTGGAATAGAGTTTGTTCAGGTATGGTACTCTCAAGGCATCCTTAATTATTGTTGTGGTTGAATAACTCCCAAATTGTATGAAGCTTGGAAGAAGAATAGTGAATGGTCTGTACTTGTATTTACACTTTATTTTTCTTGTTTGAGTCCTCAGCTAATAAACAAGGGAGGCTTTTCTGTCTTAGTGTGACTGTAACAGATAATTCCACATATAAGGAGCCTTCCAGGGGCAGGGTTGGTGGCGATCATGTTAAGCCTTCTGCAGTGAGACTGGGGACTTTCTGGTTATGCAAGCATTGTGTACTTTTAATTCCTGTTTTTGTGCACAGTGTGCTGGATGGGAAGTTTAAAAATCTGTGTGACCTCTCTGGTTTTCCTCAAGCATTTTATACATGGTTAAAGGATGGCTTCTTGTTGTTGTTTTTGGGAATTTTGTTTGGTTTGGCTTTTTGTGTTTTGCATTTTTTAAAGCTGCATTGCTATTTTAGGTGCCTGTTTGTAGTGCTGATGTCAGTGGCAGCTTCCTCTTGCTCAAAGTTGGTGCAAAAGTAAAATAAAACCAGAAAAAAATTGTTTCATGCATTTAGAGGAATGTTTATTGCAAAAATGGATAACTTGTTGTTTATAGTTGTTGTGTGGAAATTAGTGTTTTTTAGGCAGGTGAACTATTATATAATAGAGGCCTTGAAGGAAAAAGCAGCCACCTAACTGTTGAAGGGAGTCTCAAATCAGCATGAGTAATCACTTGCTTTAAAACCCAAAATGTGGAATACCTTTTAATTCTGATGGAAATTTCCTTTTATGCATGAGTGGCAATTTGAGACTAAAAGTTATCTAGTTTTCTCTTAATTCATGTTGGTGAGAAAATAATTGTGACAAATGCTAAAACAGTTAAGATGATAATGTTTCAGTTTCTTTTGGTACTTTTTGCTGTGCAATTGAACAAAGGTTCAGATCCTTAAAAATCCTAATGCAAGTATTCTTCTTTAGAGCAATGGGAGCTGCTAGATATTGAGCACTCTTTTCGAGTTGAAATAAATGTAAAAATATCTGAAGCTATAGTGGTTTTAAGGTTAGTCTGTGCAGTTTAGGATAATATATAATGATTTTCCCTCTTTTTTTTTTTTCCTTAACCTTGTTATTTCTGGCTTTCCTAAAGGTGTCATATTGATCTTTTTGTGTGTGCTGTGGATCTCAGCTTTCCTTACAGTGTGGTGTGCTAGAAGACTCTTTTTCTGCGTTCTCTACAGAGACAGCTGTAGCTCAGATGAATTATGCATGCTTGATATCCATTGCCTTCACCCGCTACCCATCTCTACCCATCATCTTATGCTTCCCCCACGCTTGGAATGTCATTGCCAACTGCGTCTTCTGGGAACAGGGGAAAGGGGAACACCTGGAAGGTTTACTATGTGCCAGTTTACCGAACCAAAGGGAAAAGTACCAGAAAGGACAGAGAAAAGAATATAGGAGAGGTGGAAAAGGAGAAGTGGATGGGCTCGGAAGCCAGAACGAAGCACAGGAACAGAAAAGGTGCTACTACACTTCCCTGTAAGGCTCTTAGTTTGAGTAACCTTATGAAGTCAGAATATCAGTAGGTGCTGTGCCTAATGGACTTTAGCTACTAGAATTCTCTTAGTCCACTGAATTGATTTTGGTTTTCTGTGTGTGTGTGCTTCGTTCTATGAGCTTCCTCTTTAGAGTTTGGATTATACTGGCCACTGAAAAATCTACTTTATATGAGGGAAGGATATTTGTAAAGGCCAGCCTTAGTTCAGGATGCTCCTTCTTCTGGGCTGCTTCTCTGATTAGTAGATGAAAGGCAGAGACCCCTGGGTGTACTGTCCTGTAGACATCTAACCTTGCCTATGCTAAAGTGAGCTTTGAGAAATACTGCTTGATATTCAATATGTGAATTATTTTCAGTAAACTTGCAAGCAGACCTCTTTTTTAACTGTGCACTTATCTTGAAGGGTGCCTTTGAATGGACCAGACACAGTTCCATCTGACAAATCCATGACTCAAGTAATACTTTTTGAATAAAATAATTGGATAATGCTGTTATCTGTGTCTGTACCTCTTTGCTTCTTGGCACAAGTGATTCAGTCACTTCTTGAGTAACCCTGAAGTAACAGGTTTAATGTTAACTGTACTTGCTGTTGTGTATCTCTTAATATGTATGATAACTTTGATTATAATTTTGCTTTTTCCCCCCCTCTTTTCTACTGTCCTTTCTGCCTGCCTGCTTATCTTCTTTGGAATGTTGTTCTTCATCTTCTGTTCTGATAAACTTCTGACACAGGTAAATATCAGTTTATTTGTATCTGTGTTTACCGAGCATGCCCTCTACTTGGCAGTGTGCAATGAATCTTGAGTCAGACGTGCCACATAGCTGTAGACTGGGAAAGGGAAATCCTACTGCCATGATGCATTTCTTTAGAAAAGTTAATTACCCAGGAATATTTATTTCCTTATCTGCTTTTCTTATTCTTCCCTTTCCTTTAACAACAATAAAATATCCAGACAGAAAATAACAACAAAATTTCATATTTGCTTTTTGGTGATAGCATGTCCTGCCTGGTGTTTCTTGGAAGACTTTATGCTGATAGTGGAATTGGCACGTGTGTGTAAGGAACAGCAAAGCAACCTAGAATGAAAAATGTTTATACACTCTCGCTCTTCCCACTTTGCCAGTCACTCTTTTCTGCCTTCACTTTTATATTATTTACATGGTGTAGCAGGTGGTAATACTTGGTTTTCCATCAGATGCAGTGTGAAGGAGAAGGCAAGAATATGTGGGCAGGATGAAGTAGAGAACCTTTCATGGCAGTTAGTTGGAGCCCCTTGTAAAATACAGTAGTGGAGTATGTGTAATGGAGTGAGGGGAAAAGAATGTTATTCAACTTGTTAATTGTGTTTATGCCTTTTATTAAAACATGGCAAGTCCAGCCTCTGTCAATGGAAAGCCTGTTGCCACGAAAACCTGAGCTTTCACTGAGATTATAAGTAATCCAAAGATTACTTATATCTTTGGACTTAAATCAGTATGTATGTACCAGTAAAAATCACTGCAAATGTTTAATGGGATATGGAACTGTTGACTGAAGGAGAAAGTAATAAACTTTGATTTATTTTTTTTTTTCCAAGTTCCTTGGAAATAAGAACTCTTGGTTCTTTTAACTTGATAAACTGATATTCAGAAGCCAGAAATACAGAGAGTTTTTGGAATACATTTAGAACTCATCATCCTTACCACTTCTGGTGCATTTTTCAGTGAACAATATGAAGTGTTATCCATTACTCATCATCATCATCATGGTCAGTCTTCGCGAACGAAGATTTGGGAAAGGTCTTTACCCACGTTTGTTACAAGCACGCTGGTGATACAGGGCTTTGCAAATGCGGGTAAGGCCTTCGAGCCTGCGCAATGGATTTTTTAGGTGAGACACAGTGTGCGCTGAACTGAGCCCACCCTTTAATCCTAAGGTTCATCTGCCGGGGCCGAGTGAGCTTGGACGGTAGCAGTGAGGTCCTCAGGACGTAGGTTTGTTTAGAGTGACCTTCTCTTAGATGGATGGCCTTACAGGGCTGAACGAGCTCCATCTGCCCGGGTTTAGAGTTGTCCTTCTCTTCTGTGTGTTCTGGGGCTCCCCTCTCATCTCCCACGATGGCACTGTCCGCACAGGCGAAGCTCCCATTCTCTCGCTCCTTTCCGCACCCGGGGCCAGGCTGGGCCTGCGCTGCCGCGAAGCACGTGTTCTGGGGCCAGCCTGGGTATCCATTACTAACTGCAGCTGAAATGCACATAGGTCAGTAAACTGGCTTTGTGTCTGTCTGTCTGTCCTCCCCGTTCAAAATACCTGTGCTTCGAAGAGAAGCAAAAATAGCAGTGTGTTGTTTGCAGTTCACACGGGAGTGCTGCAGTCTTAAAAAATCCTCAGGCTTGTGGTGACCAAATCACTTGTGATTGTGGAAAGATGGGTATAGGCTGGGTTTTTGCTTTGGATGGCATTTAACCGACTACACTGAAGGGCAGTGGTCCTGCTGGTTAAACCAAGGGCTGCTGCTTCT